TTAAAAAAAAATAAAATTTGGGTATATAAAAAAAAAAAAAAAAAAAAAAAAAAGTTGATGGCAAGGGAACATCAGATGGCGTAATGGCTGTATTGCTGGACTCCCATGTAGTCAACCGCAGTTCAAGTCCTGGATGCCGTGGCTTAAACTCATGCTGGATGCGCATGCATGCCTAAGATCCCGAGAAGAGAATGGAGGAGCAGGGATTGCGGTGTGGCCATTTCCTCTGGGGGGGTGATTTCTTGCTTTCCGTCTTCTCTCTCCCTGTCTTTCTGGCGAGCACATGCACCCTATAGCATAAACCTCCCCCCACCCACCCCCCAAAAAAAGTGGCAAAATATGAAGACTTGTTAATGGCAGATAAATGGGCATTCATGTTTTCTATAATTTTTATATACTTTTTGCTATAATTATTATTTAATTGTATTTTAAAGTTTGCTATAAAAAAAAGAGAGAGAATTGTTCCAGTACAGAAAACTTTGAAGTGTTTTCCTGCATTTTAACTGCCTAAAAAGGCACGCTAGGGACCAGCAGGTGGTGTGGTGATTGGGGTGCTGGACACTCCCACATAGCCGAATACAGTTTGACTCCCGGACTGGTGGCTTGCTTTCTCACTTTCTTTCTCTGGTCAAATTAAAATACATGAATAAATAAACAAAATAAAATAAATAATTCTTTAAAAAAAAAAAAAGGGCAGGCTTTGAATTTCAATCCTAGTTCTTACCATTTACTATAAATAAATTTTTTTTTGGGGGGGGGGGGGTTTTTTGTAGGGCACATGCGCTTGCCAGACAGACAGACGGAGAGACAGAAAACGAGAAATCACCCCTCAGGGGGGATGGCCATGCCGCAATTCCTTCTCCTCCGTTCTCTCGGGATCTTGGGCTCGCACGAACACGTGCCCGGCATGAGTTTAAGCCACCGGGTCCGGGACTTGAACCGCAGTTGACTACGTGGGAGTTCAATGACATAGCCATTATGCTAACTGCTGGTCCCCATAAATAAATGTTGTGATTAGGTAGTGGTTTATTGTCCTTGAAAGTAGAATATAGAATTATGTGGCAAACAAATAAAATATCTAGCATACACAGTGTCTGACATTCAAACACTCCTAAATGGTGACTTAAGGGCCAGCAAATGACATGGAGATTAAGGCAGCTGAATCACACGCAGACGACTGTGCAGTTGGGAGTCTTGGACCTCACTGGGTGTGTGTGCGTACATGCCCTAAACCTCAAAGTTAAGAAGGGGTCTGCAACATGGCCATCTTCCCTGGGGAGAAGAGGAAAATATTCTCTCTCTCCATACCCCTGAAAGGGCACTCACCCTACTGCAAAATAAAAATAAAATGGTGGACCAAAAGGTGGCATGGATGGTAAAGGTGCTGGATCCCATGTGGCTGACTCCATGGTTCGAATCCAGGACTTGCAGGCTTGAAAAACAAACTGAGGGAAGCCAGCAGGTGGCATGGTGGTTAAGGCAGCTGGACTCCCACATGGCTGACCACGGTTCAGGTACTGGACCTGGCACCTTGCTTTCTCACTTTCCCTGTCTCTCTGGTCAACTTTAAAAAATAAAATAAAATAAAATAAAAGGATAAAATAACGAGGGATGGTAGGTGGTGTGGTGGTTAAGGCACTAGACTCCCACATGGCCAACTGCAGTTGAGTCCCAGCCCTTGCAGCTTGCTTTCTCACTTCTCTTTCTCTTTCCTGGCAAATTGAAAAAATAATAATGATGATAACAAAAATAATTTGGAGGACCAGCAGTCAGCGTAATGGCTGTCGCTGGACTCCCACGTAGTCAACCGCAGTTCGCGTCCTGGACCCGGTGGCTTAAAAC